ACATAGTACAAGAACGTGAAATATAAGGTGATGCATGGAAGTTGCTGGAGCTGATAAGCTCATGGTATCACCATGTAGGTCCCAAGTTTGACACGGGGATTGTCGGCGTCACGCAGTTGCTGAGATCAAGGTTTTCCCGAAGGCGAAGATGCTGAAATGTATGCCTAAAAAGCCATCCAATCATGTAAAGGCTGGGCTATATAGAGGACGGTTTGCCATCCAATCATGTAAAGGCTGGGCTATATAGAGGGGTTTGTGCGGTTGATCCCCCTCCATCTTTTCCATCGTGGGAAGGAATTTTGAAACCTTTGGTTTTCAGCAATGGTAGCTAGTAAGGGAGACTGTTCTTGAATAATAACTGAACTGATGTCAAGGCTGGAAATTTAAGGTATTCATCCTCAACGTCACTTCTTATGCAAATGATTATGCTTTAACGAAGAAAAGGAAAGCTCTATCACCCGAGGATATATACCAGGTTAGCTGTTTTTTCTCGGAAGAACAACCTCTGAATAGTAGTGATTCAATTCTCATTTTCTGCCTCACAGCTGGGTCTTTCTTGAGAGCATGCAAAACGAGCTTCCCCAACTTCCTTCCAGTAGTAGTATTTTTTGCCGTTTTCTCCTAAGGCTTTTACCATTACCAAACCTGTACCTATATCGGGGGTTTGAGGATTGGTAGAGGAAGCATTTGCAGGTTAACCAGTTTCCTTTGTCAGTTCCTGTTAACCTACACGTCTCATCTTGGTAGGACCCTGACGGTCTTTTCAAGCGTGAACGAGGATCTTGCTATTACATAGCTCTATAAGAGTTACGGGTCTCCCAGGAGGCATCGGGGATTGATGGAAGCCCAGGAAAATGCCCTCACCAAGCTGAACTGCACTGAGTATTCTTCCGTAAGGGGTCGTTATTTCAGATTTCAAGTTGGAATTTTGCAGGTTTCTACGAGTTGAACGATTATTTCTGTATTTCAGGCTCTTCAAGTAATTGAATGTGATCACATCGTGACTCCATTAGTGGACGAGCTTGAGGCATGGAAACTGAATAAGGTAAATTTTATTTCCCAGGGCTAAGACGAATGGAAATGTGGTTAGAGCACACCCCCCCCCCTGGAACGGTGTCAGTACGACCTCCCCCTCCCCCAATGTGTTTCCCACAACGATGTGTGTGACCTTCTTCCAAGTAGCGCCAATAACCTTGGGTCAGGGAGCATTCATCGTACTCTTTGTGCAAACCTAGGATAACATCATCCGAATAGTTTTTCTACGCCGTCTCCCAGATGGGTAAAAGTTATGTCCGCTACTCCACTTTTCAGTTTAGCACAAAGGGTCACGATCCCCTCAAGGCTACTAGCGCCGCGAGTCGTGTATAGAGGTACAGACCAGGCTAAAGGAGGGAGGGTACAGATTACGCTAGAGAAGGATAGTTATGGAGATGTTGTGAAAGCGTGCGTTGTTAGTATTCACTGCACCCCCCCCTCCCCATCCTGCACCTGACTACTTCTTCTGCTGTGTTCATTGTCTACCTTAGCCACTTTTAACCTTCAGCAGTCCCGGTTCATTTATTTGGAAGTTGGTCAGAGAAGCTTCCAGGGGGCGAAAAGTTGGTGGCGGTGACATTTTTGTATTGAGTATCAGGACAGCGTCTCTAGGGAGCTATCCAACCACGGCCTGTTGCTACCGCGCTACAGGTTCGCAGGTATTATAGAGTACGTTGATCATAGTGCCCTTCAGTCTTTAGTGGGAGTATCGCGGAAGCTTGAATGGCGGAAGTAGTGAGCTTGTTTTCTTAACCTTTTCCAAGAGAAAATGGTATTCCTTACTGTACCTTTTATTTCGCAGTTTACTACCGCACAATATGAAAAAAATCAGTGAACAATTTACAGGCTATTCGGTCGGAGGAAACGAGAAAGCGAAAAGCGGATAAGAAAGCAGCAGCGAGGATACCTGATGAAGATGGGCCGTTCACCATTGCACCATCAGAGGAAATGCGTCTAAGGACTCCAGAGGGTGAACTTGATCTTGTGTAACCATCATTGTCAACTTGTCCTCCTACTGATTAGAGCTCTAAAAAGACGGCAGCCTGTGAGGCCATTGTTTGCGGCCATGCAGTGTTTCATTCATGGGTACTTTGATAAGTGAAGTCAGCACTTCAGGACTGGTTGGTACGGTAACAATCAGCTTTTTGAAGCCCTGGGGGTGGTGGTTGGTCTGGTAGTTGGTTGGTTCTAGGCGAACTTGAAGACAGAGTCCGCGAGAACGTGGAAGCCGTACTTTGTTAATGGGACACTTCGAAAAAGCCTGTTAAGAATGCCGGGGGTCCGACACGATCTAAACTCTCCGCTCATAGCACCTCTCTTCCTTTTCATCTCGTTTTATCGTTGCTGTCCAACGCCTGAACCTTGTAACTTCTATGTTCACTCGTCATACCGTTGTCTATTTCCCTTTCTCTGTGTTTCTTCGCCGCAGATGTAATGCTTTGAACCAACAGGGGTCTTGTTTGAGACTTTCGCGACGGTTTCTCTAACTTCTTTTTTCACTACTGAGATGCTTACCATTCCCCTAGTGATTCGCGGTACGGTCTGTAGTTGCCTAATGTCTGTAATGAATGACTTTTATTAAAACGCTGTGACTTTTACATAAGTATCCCTCAGCGATTGCCTTTTATTTACTTAGCTGTTGGTTCTTTGTAAATATTGCCTTTGTGTGACTCTTTGTTCCATGTTTCACTATTTGTAAATGAATTTGTTGAGATAATGATTGCAAATTTGGAACTATAATTTGAGGACTTACGTTTTCAAAAATACGCCAACTCGACATATGGTTTTTGACCTATACAAACGGTACTATATAATAATTTCTATCGGTTTACTCACGCACGATTGAAAACACCCACTGCTCGTCCACATCTGGCCCGAAACTACAGATATCACTGCCTTCTGCGGGGTTTATGGTGAACTTCTCCCATCACGTGCTCAGGTAGCAGGCGAAGACTCTTCTGATGGGTGGGCACTCTTAAAAACGGGTTTCTAGGTTGGGTAATCACGGTTTCTGCAATACCATGGTTAAAGGCAGAATTCGCGATAAGCCAGTGAGAAGTTCACTGGTATCGGACTTGGAAGAATGAAAAGCAAAGGAAAGAGTCAAAACGCTCGAAATCAGCCAGCCTTTCCCTGGGCTAAGCGAGAGACACAAAAATTGATGTGGTTCTCAGGCGAGAGGCTACACAAGAGCGGCGAGGGAGCACGCAGACGAGTAAGACAACCGACAAGACATCTATCAATGAGGGCGGAGTCACTGACTTTCTTGGCGGAGTCACTTGTACAACCTTGTGCCTTACCGCCGCTACCTTGCAACTTTCTGACGCGAAACTTGTAGGGGGTTGTTCGTTGCGGTTTTCTCTGTCTTCCCTTTCATAGAGGTTAGATATTTATAGTAGGAGATCTGCCTTGCCTTTAACTGTATGAGATGCATTGGAACATGTATCTCAGAATTCTGAATAGATCTGGGTGGAGGTAGTGTAATAGCAAGTGTTCTTTTTACCGCAGTCGCGCACGGTCCGTGAGTCAAAGGTTTGGGTCGGTTCCCGCTCAGGCCGACCAAGCCTTCTTCCCTCCAGGAACAAAGAGAAAAAGTGAGCCACTACTTTGATGGATGTTCGCCAAGTCCAAAGAGGAGGATTGGTAGACGGCAAGAGCTTTACTTCATTCTTTATCTTTAGTAACTAACTACGAGTAGTAAAGATTCCTCTCCTTTTGTGAACAAGAAAATCAGAATTTACACCTTTCCACCACCTCTGCGTAGGAGCGTAATGCACGGCGCACACTCGGACCAAATCGATCAGTGATAGCCGAGCTCCTCTTTCACTCATTTGAAGGGAAATATGTGTTTTGAAGGCACACTGAGTTTTCGAAGGTGTATCCTCACAATGGCACAGAAGGAGTCGATTTTTCGGGTGGGTCAGAGGGTAGCGCGTCTGTGACCCATCTAAAATATCTCCTAAACTAGCGGGTCTTCAGGAAAGCTGTAAAGCAGAAAAACCCGCTTGCCTTCCGAAATATTTCACGAACGGGGAAACATTCAGATT